CTAAAATACCTCAAAAACTATCAAATGTATTGGCATGACACTTGGTACAAATACCCATGGTGCTCAGAGGATGAATTCTAATGACTTGACTGGTGTGATTGTTACTTTTTTCATATTTAAGATTAAAGATTTATACTTTACATCTCACACATCCCGTGGGTCACATTCTGATACCTATTATGCTATTCTTAAGGTGGATCATTTTAAACTGGGCAATCCTGCAGCCAATAAATACCAAAGGAAGTCTCTTCTGATCAGTCTCCTATAACACTTCATGGTTCTCACTCAAACATGCTGATAAAGTTAGAGACTTTGTTATGGACTTTGGTTAAGCTTGAGGAAGCTTTAGAGTATTAGTTCCCATTGCAGTGACTGGACTTAAGCCTTATTTATACCAATTTTGGGGGAAAAAAATCTCAAATCCCTTCAGCGATGTCAGTTCCAAGTGAGGAATATATCTTTGTAGTTACTCACTACATGAAGTAAGAATATGTGTTGAATAATTGGACACAATTTGCAAAAGGTGTCAATGACTCCAATTTAATTTATCTAAGTTATAAATTTAATGAGGAAAAGAGAGTGATGTTTAAGTGCATTGCTGACAGAGGTTTCAGGCAACTATTTTGTTATCAGTCAATGAGGAAAAGTAGCCCGTGGTTCATTATTAAAACAAATTAAGATCAGCAGTAATCTGATTTAGGTGTAAAAAAGCCCAAACAATATAGAAGAGTCTACATTGCCTTTACTTCCTTGATTTTATTGTCACCATCTCAGTCAAAAGACCTTTTCCAAGGCATGTGCTGGCTTTTGTCTTGAGAGGATTTTTTTTGGCAGAAACCTACTCCAACTGTTCGGCCTTTGTTGCTGCTAAGACATAGGCATTTATCATCTAGGAAACCTTCTATTTTATCATCATTTCTATTATTACATCTTGTTTGAAGAGGCGAATATCAGTCATGCCAAAGTGAACATGATTCTCATTCTGTTATTGTAATTAGTCAATGCTTGTGCTGGTCCAACATTTTTACAGATGAGGTTTTTGCCGTCTCAGTGTAAAAACGGAGTCAAAATAGATAATATTGACTTGCTAATAATTAATTTCTTATCTTACAGTCCTTCACATCATCATTATTAGTTGCTATACCCAAAATTGAATCACACGCTCAGGCAAGTACAACAGTGCTGATAGATGTGGCTGCTTTCGCCGAGGCTGTATGTGAGCCTGAGAGAGAAATCTCCGGAGTCATATGAGCAGTTCAGGATCAAACAGTCTGAGGCCTCAGAGCCAAATATGGCCCACTCAACTCTGCTCTCTACATATAGAGGACTGTTATGACTCGGCCGCTTAATTCCTCACTATGTGCTGCTGAGATGGAGTCACAAGTTCAAAAGCCTTTTTTGTGTGTGCAACCACTGCAGCTAGAGTGAGTCAGTATGGAGGAGACCTTTGGATGGGTTTTGTAGACCTCGACCGCTGCAGGAGCACAACTAAAAATCGGAGGTTACTTAGACAATAATCCAGGTTGTTGTATAGGAAAAAATAAGTTCTGCTAACTGAAGAAATGTCGTTTCAAAGAGCAGGTTAAGGAGATAACGACCATGTAGACATTTTACAAGGCTGATAGAAAGCGACTGGTGGTAATATCACTATGAGCAATAACAGTGAATTAAATGATGGCTGGCCAGTCTGAACCTCTTATGTAGCCTTCAACCTTGGCTGCAACAAACAAACTTGAACAGAACAAAGGTGTTCTGGATGTTGGCAGCTCCATTCAGCAATGCATAATGTAACTGGGTTAAAAAGAAAAAGAGAAAGAAATACAACAAGAAAAGCCACTCAGAGAAAACAGACATGGGGAGTGTAACTCGTCTTAGGGACACACTTAAATTTAGTATTGTTCTTCCATAACGATGAGAGGACCAACAGATTGAAAAATTGGTGCATAAGCGACTGAGATATCCTGATTTTTATTCCCTAGTCAGGCTGTTCTCATTCACTGTTCATACTTATACCTATAAAAAGTAATGCACTGTAATTTTAATTAAACCCAGGCTATCATGAGCCAGGACATGCAGGGCTGCTGCTAAGAAACTTAACAGAGGATGTAATGTTAAGAGCGACAAAGTCTGCGTAGGGAGGAAAGTGATAGATGGGTCAAAAACAGGACTTTCACCCAGGAGACTGCTGTACATGTTTTGCGTGAAACCAAAAGTTAATGTTGACATATTGTTCTTTACTTTTGTTACCTAAGTTCTTTGTGATACTTAATTAATACCACCTCCGTAAGTTACGTAACAAACATAGTCATTTTGTGTAACAAACCAACTTATTTGAACTCAAACCACAACAAAATACATTGTTGGTCGTTGCCTGACACAAAAAAAAAACAACAAAAAAAACAAAAACGTTTTCTGACGTTAGACCACTATGGATAAGGTGTGCTTAGCTTCGGGCACAAAAACAACTGGGTTTGCATCATGGACAGATCATGCTTTGGGTTAATATAACTACTTTGTTAAGGTAAGGGGACGTTTGTTGTCATGATTACAGTATTAACTTGATTACATTAGGAAACAACTGCAGTCATGGATAAAAGAAACCAACGTCAAAGTCTGTGTACGGTACTGCTTATCACGTCAAATAAACTGGCTTTGATGTGTAAAAAATGGTGGAGTATCCCTTTAAATATCAAACGAGATGTTTTGAAGTGAAATGCAGATTTTCTAAACAGAAGCCACTAAAATAGACTTGAATAAAGAACAAAATGGTGAAGTGCGTCTCTTTCTTGGTCACCTCCCCAATGAATAAACAGAAGACTGTGCAGAAGGACGCCAAGAAGGTTTAACAAATGCTCTGGAGTTGGAGAAGGAACACAAAGAGGTGCAGCACAGGGAAAAGATGAGAATAAATTCCAGTTAATGTAACATGTTTGGACAATGGGAGAAAAACGCTGATGGAGGAAGACATGAGTGAAAAGCTAGCGTACCAGCACAGATGAATTGTTTTGGAATAATTACATATTTGATTTAGTTTGATTATCATGTTGATAAAGTGACTCTTTTGATAACATCAAGAATAAAGAGTGGATTACAGTAGATTTAATGTGGATTTTTGAAGACAGGTAATTGCTTATGTTCGATATTAGAATTTGAAAGCTTCGGTGTTTAAAATATAATGTTTTTCTCTCTCACACAATTTTTTCCAGTAAATTTTATTCACATTCATTCCTCCTGACTTATCTTCATATTTACTGTGACACCTTTGTTTTTTATCTTCCAAACAAGAGATAACAAATTTGCCAAATGCACCTAGTGCAGACACATTCTGTGTGTTTCTTTAAAGAAGGGAAATAAAACATATTTTGCATCATGCAAAATATCTATTTTCTTAGACAACAAACAGGCGGTAAAGGGGACTGTTTATATTTCCTGAAATGTCTATGCTGTCATCATAATGAAGATTTATGCCAGAAAGAAAGACTAAATAAAATATTTTTCCCACAAATGAGTTCCTGTCAAAGACAAATAGTGCACACAAGGTGAGCCCACGGGACAGTTTGTAAGCTTTTTGTGGTGTTGATCCACAAACAAATGAGATAACAATTATATGTGCATGCGGTTTAAGATATTTGGAGCAGGATTTAGCCAGTAAGTACCCTTCTGCGTAGCTCTGTAGAGGTTTATAGTTAATATAAAAGGCTCATCATTTGCACTGCAGGGATCATGAACTACTTGAAAGAGCTACATTTAACTGCTTTAAATCACGGGAAGTGCTATGAGATAATTTTTTTTATGTATGCTTCATACAGATTACACACATTCCCACCTGAGTGCTGATCTTTAGTGAGCAGCTCCACTGCAGCAGGTTTGGTTCTGGTGTCTTTATGGCAGATGTCTCCTCAGCAGCATTTTCCAGCCCAGTTGTGGATTACAACCACAGATCTGCTGCTTCAAACGCAAGGCTGGTAAGTTACATGAAATGTTTGCTGACTAGCTCCTCTCAGAGGCAGGGGAATGAGCAAGGCTGCTGTACATGGAGCAAACATTACAGGCCAGACTGTGGCTGTCCACTTTGTTTGGTTCTGAATCAGTGCTCACACGACATGCAAGAGGAGCATGCTATTTGGCAGAACACACAATGAAGCACGAAGGGAAATAGAAACTCAGCACCCCCTGGTGTCAGGACTGAAGCCCATATTCCTTCTTTTTTTGGTCCGTTCATGTTTTAACAAATGCAAAAGCACAAATGGACATTTATTGAAAATAGATGAATTGGTGCATGTGAAAGGTAGCCTACAATAAGCTCTAGGATCTCTGAACACATTAACCAATGGTCATTCAGATCATTAAAACAAATATAACATCGCTTCCTTTTTTCTACAAGAGAACAAGGTCACATAAACACATTTATAATTTGTTTAATGTGTCATTGGATGGGAATCCTGGAAGCATTCAAAAAGGGAAATGTGCATCCACTTTTTAATCTTTATTTTTATTCCACATTTTTCAACGAAAAAACTTAATTCAACGTTTCTCGACAGATTGGACAGAATATTCAAATTTGACAATATTTAAGTTTTTCGTGCGTTTTTCAAACCTGAGATGTCATGACAATTAATAATTTTAAAAAGGCACAAAACTATTTCTGAATGGGGTGGAGAAATACAAGTATATTCGTTGTAGTTGGCGTTGATCGCTTTGTCCGGTCCATTAGACTTTTATACTGAAATAGATGGAAACATCCGGAATGGCTGATTGCCTTCAAAATAAAAGTGAAAGGCTCCTTAAAGTTACGCCTATAGTGATACGACACAGAGTGAAAACAACAAAAATACTATAAAAAAGCAATATTGTATGACGATTAGCTGCTGATAATTCCTCTATTTGTTAACGTTATCAAAATATGTCCAATGTGATCGGAATCTATCAATCAATTTATACTGAAAATCGTTGACCGGAAGTACATGTAGTTACGTCATCCAGATGACTTGACAGTTTAGTACTGGGGAAGAATTGAAATGAGCGCGTGTTACTACCGCGGTAAAGTACAGTTTACACCGTTGCAGGTGTACACGTCATCTGTTAATATGAAACGGCTCTCAGACTCAACCGTCGTCATTTAAATCAGTTTTAAACCGTCCTTCTCACTGTCAGGGTAACTAGCTTAACGTCCTATCCTATCATGTGGGTTTTCGGTTACGGGTCTCTTATATGGAAAGTGGACTTTCCTTATGAGGAAAAAAGAGTCGGCTACGTAAAAGGCTTCAGCCGCCGGTTTTGGCAGGGCAGCACCGACCACCGGGGTGTACCTGGTAAGGTGAGTGACCGTTAATTTTGGGACAGGTAACGTCACAGCTAATGGTAGCAGTAACTGAGGCAAGGTTACTGCGGTCAAGTCAGCAGACACTCAGATCTCCGTGGTCAACTCAGCAGACACTTAAATTGTAGTGCACATATACGCTGAAATTTACGGTAAACGCAACCAAACGGCACAGATCGGGAGCGAGCGAATAACTTTGCAAAGTTAGCGGAAAGATTAACGTGAGACAACTTCCGGTTTTCTACAGACGAACATCCGGTTTCCAGAATAAGATGCCAACAAAGTATACATATTGCATAATGAAATGAGATTAAATGAATTATATTCACATTAATTATAAAACATGCTACCTGCATCTCCTGAGTTAAAGGGAAAATACACCTAAATTGTGCGTAAAGTGTCTTTATTCCTTTATTTGAGGGTTGCTGGAAGTTAATAATACCTGACTGATGGTCAATTAAGATATTTTACGAAGCAAAAACTCTGAACTGAATTTGTATCTTCAAATGGCATATTTTTTAAATTTTTAAGGTGCTATAAAAATGTTTTTCTCAATAATTCCACACAACGACTAATGCATATATGTTCAGGACAAAAATGGGTAATATCACAATATTTAAGGTGCTACAAAAATATTTTTCTCAATAATTCCAGACAATGACTGACATGTATGTGTTGAGGACATCGTTGACTCCACCCACACTGAAAATTAGACATTTTTACTCTACCAATTAAGAGATATTTCAAAGTAAAAGTCATACATTTGAACTGAGAAAACGTCTAATAACTGAATATTTGAGGTGCTATAAAAAGTATTTTCTCAATAAGTCCAGACAATGACTGATATGTATGTGTTGAGGACATCGTTGACTCCACCCATACTGAAAATTATATATTTTTACTGTCCTAATTAGGAGATATTTCAAAGTAAGTTTCAGCGTATATGTGCACTACAATTTAAGTGTCTGCTGAGTTGACCACGGAGATCTGAGTGTCTGCTGACTTGACCGCAGTGCAAGGTTGCCAGGTCTGTGGGCTCAAGAGTTGCTTTGACAAATGGGGCAAATCTATCTATTATAAATAGATATTATAAATTAGAAACTTTAAAAAATGTATAAACAAGATATTATAAATTATAAATATCTCTTGTAACACTGCTGCTATCTTAAGTATTAAGTTACTAAAGCAACTTAATACTTAAGATATTAAGTATTAATATCTTAAGTATATTAATACTTAAGATATCAGCAGACACTTGTGTGTCTAGCTAAACTGTTTCCATTTAGTTTAGCTAGACACACAAGTCATCCATTTTTGTATTGTTTATCCCTTTACTATTTACATTTATGACTATTATTAAGGGAATGTAACATTACATGTTAATCATTTCAGTGTACATGCTTCTGTAGCTTCTATTATAACATTTTCCTTTAAAAGATAATCTGTTTTGTTGACATTTGTATAGTGTAGTTTTTAAAGATAATATGACTATAATCCTACTTGGTTGCTTTACTGTGTCTGCTGATGTTTTAAAGTCTCCTCCGTCTGTGTCCTTTACAGCCGGGCCGGGTGGTGACACTGGTGGAGGATCCTGAGGTGAGACATACCCCTCCTAAACCTAATGGTGCCGTACATTACTTTGTAATAGCGCTGCAACTAACCATTAATTTCACTGTCTATTACTTTGCCAATTACTTTCTCGATTAAGTGTTCTGTCTGGGAAAATAGTGAAAGATGTTCATCCTCCTTTGTAAGCGCCCCAAGGTGACGTCTTCAGATGTCTTGTTTTGTCCAACCAACACTCTAAAAACCCAATTTAGCCCGTTTACAACAACATGAAGCAAGAAAACTGCAGAAAATGCTCACATTGGAGAAGCTGGAACCAGCAAATGTTTGCCTTTAAAATTAACAAATGACCTAAATATGCGTAGAGTATTTGCAATATATGTACATCATATATGCAAATAGAACATTTAAACAAACAACAATCCACCCTTTAATATGAATACCTAACCTATCATAAAGATTTGCAATTTTTAATAAGTAGGTGTCCTGTTAAATGACTTGTAAATCTTCATGATATTAATTAAATTTGACATAGTTTCTATGAATGTGACGTTTGTTTTAGATGACAAATTACGTTAAGGGGAAAAGCAAACAATATCTCATGTTATTCAAATACAGTGATAATAGATTATCCCCTCCTGATGGTCATAATTCACCCACCTTGTTATTTATTACTGTATTATTGAGAATAATTAAGAGAAATCTTGCAGCGTAGAGGCCAAGAGCAAGATTTTGTGAATGAAATTCCACTTAGTAGAACAGTTTTCAAGCTGCAATCACTTGCATTTGGTTTTTCTTCATGGAACAGTGGATTGTCACAGTGTTATGGATATTTCATTTATTGGTGTACATGCATGACGTGAGACAAAGACACAAGGTGAACGAGAGTGCTGTACTACTGCTCAGAAGAGGAAGATTGCATCTTAAACAGTGAAACAAATGAGACGACAGTGTATTCTGACCTTGGATGAGAGATAATCTGTTGCAGTTGATGGGAAAGCGATAGAGAGACACTGAGTGTGTAATGTAGCGAGAACATGGTGCGCGTCTAGCAAACATGCTGATGAGTATCTTAAAACGGTTACTTATCAGGTCTACGGATCATAAACATGTCGATACAAACAGTGGTAGGGCTGTAACTAAAGATTGTTTTCATTATTTATTATTCTGCAGATTCTTTTCTTTACCATTCAATAATAACTTGGTCTATGAATTGTCAGGAAATAGTGAAAAATGCTTCTCAGTTTCCTCCAGTTGAAGTTGGTGTTCATATTTTTTGCAACAGTCAAATATCAAATGATATTTAATTTACCATCATTGAGAACTAAGAAAATCAGCAAATATTCACATTTGAGAAGCTGTAGTCTGAGAGCTTTTGGCATTTAAAAAACAGACAAATGATTGTTGTTGAATAATATTCGATCGACTAATCATTTCAACTCTATTTTAACAGTTAACGCCAAAATCAAAAATACATATTTTCCCTCGTACATGTAGTGCTATTTATCAATCTATAGTTTTTTATTGTGAGTTGCCGAGTGTTGGAGATATTGGCCGTAGAGATGTCTCTCTTCTCTCTTATTTAATGGAGCTAGTTAGCCGTTTCATGCAGCTACTATTTTCTTTCTGTGGAACTACACCCACCAACCTTATCACTGTGCAGGAGGAAGCAGGCATTTACTCAGGGGACGAGAGGCTCGTGCTCATGACAACGTGAGATGTAAACATTAATGGCGTCCTCCTCGGCTGAGCTGTAACGTTAGCTAGCTAAGTGGTGCGAGGTTGAGCTAGCAGTGTCGAGTACAGATGCAGGCTTCTTTCAGCGTGGTGATCCGGTTGGCGGGTGTTTGGTAGACTTTGCAACCAAAAGAAGTCGCCCCCTGCTGGCCACCTTTCTGCATTGACCTCACTAGTCAGAACCGGAGGTTGCCGCCTTGTAATTCTGCATCCATCCAGATGCCAAGCTATCCGTTCTCTTCTTTCCTTGTTTTTTTTTTTTAAGGGGTGCGTTTGGGGCGTTGGTTACAAGCTGCCGACGGGCCGGGAGCAGGAAGTGAAGCGTTACCTCGACTACCGAGAAAAAGGTGGTTATCAGGTCATCACGGTGAACTTTCACCCCCGTCCACCACTGTCCCCCCCGCCCGGCCAGATGCTGCTCTACATCGGCTCTCAGGACAATCCAGACTACCTCGGCCCCGCCCCTCTGGAGGAGATAGCCAATCAGATCGTCGACTCTACCGGTCCAAGTGGGCAAAACACGGAGTACCTGTTTGAGCTGGCTGATGCTGTGAGGACAATCCTGCCTGAGGACTCAGACACACATCTGTTTTCTCTGGAAACTTTAGTGAGAGAAAGAATACACACTCAAACGGATTAATTAAATAACTAATAGAACTTGATCAATGATGGATTTATCAAATAGTCTCAGGGTTTAAGGTAAGCATGGACAATGTTGATGAAGTCTGTTACAAGTGTCACACTACAAGTTAATGTCACCATTTTGTCTCATGCAGGAAAAAACATTAAAAATATTGTGTATTGAAAGCTGCTTAAAAAAAAACCAAAAAAAGTAAAATACATAATGGTACTGTAATTCAAACAAACAAAATATGCTTTGGATAAACTTGTCAATTTACTCTCTGTACAATATAGAACAGAGCAAATGAACGTTTTGAATTATAAATATATGCTGAGTGAGTATACTGTACATTCACTTATACATTTGGTCTGTTTTTATGAATTTTAAAACATAAAAACCATCTTGTGATGTATGTGTGCACTGCTGGGTGAAACATTTGGGCCAATACAACGAACCCAGAACTTTCCAAAGTTCCAGATGATCCTGCTTTGGTAAATATATCCTCGATCTCTCGTTGTAATATGATCGTCATCACACTACTGTAATCACATTCCACGCAGTGTACAGCCACACAAGTATACCTCGTTAATTCTGGATTGTACTTAACAGCTACGCTTCTTCTCATGCTGCCAGCGTACGTCTCAGCACAGTGAACATGTCAAAGACAACGGCACTGCATGCATGGGCGACAGCTCTATCTCTGACCCTGTCTTACTTCAACACACACACACACACACACACACACAGTTACCAGTGTTTATTGGCTGTGGTTCGTAGCAGCATCTGTACAACATAACAACAAAAAACTGTCAGCTACGTTTGATCTCTGTGCAGAACAGAGTCTGCTCTGGACATTGATGTGATATGAATGTATGGAGATGAACTGCAGGTTTTTCACACGATCAGTGGACCCTGGCACACACAGCATGAAACACTCGTTCTTCCTCTCTAAAATAAAATACATCTCCTTTTACAAATGATGCAGTGTATTTATTCAACAGGAAACAATTCTCAGTGTTGAGCTATTGTATAATACAACACAGCAGCCTGTATAGGAATATCATACAATTATATTACGAGTTATACATCTTATTACCTTTTATAAGTGTATGTACATTTTATCAATTACATAATGCTTAGCAATATTAATTCATATATATTATACAGTATTAGAAACAGTATGATTCAAAGGTGTTACATTACAACGAACTATTAGAGCCTGAAGTATTTTCTTGTATTTGGTAAATTAACGGACAGTTCTGACTTTTTACATGTTCTTTAAAAATATTTTTGAAAGTAGGAAGAGTGAAATACTTTAATGAAGATAGTGATGTGAAAAGATAGAGGTTTCTGGCAAATGAGTGGCTGAATATATTGTACAACAGCAACAAAAGATACCCTTAAAGGGTGATTATCTCAAAGTGGCCACCTTTGGGGCTGTTGAGCTGCTTGGCGAGAAAAAATATATACACCAAGTAAGTTAAATATTTCAAAAAGTTTCGTCCAGGGTTGCTTATCTGCCAGGTTTACTAAAGGCCAACATCGGCACGCGAAGTTCCAGAGGCAGCTGCAACAACATCAATGTTATTACAGTATTATTTTTAACGGGCTGCACAGAGGACCACAACGCTGTTAAAAGGTGTAGTTAGTCTTTTAGGGTGCAGTAGAGGACCCCGGCAAGGCAGCTGGCCGTCTAGGCGTAGTAGCAGGGCGACACCAGCAGGTCTGTGAGCACGAGCAGCTGGTCGTCAGTGAAGCACTGCCGGTGCTCCTGCCAGTTATCGTGGTGAGTGCGCCTGAACTCCGACAGGGTCTTCTTCACCGTCATCTTGGAGCAACAAACATCATCGTCATTACCGACACCATGGGAAAATAAACATCATTGCAAATGAATGACACATGTAGATCTACGAGACACCAGGAGGTGATACATGTATACTTATACTACAATATTGCAGTTTTTACTCCACAAGATGTATTTGACACCTGTAGTTACTTTATATATTATTTAAACAACATTTGTTGCATTGTTGATTGATTTGAAAGTAGAGTACAAAGTAATTAATGTAATATATGATATTAAAACATCCACAGAGGAGCATTTTTCTGTATAATTGGTCATTTTTCTTCTGATACTTTAACTATTATTTTGCTGGAAATACTTATGTACTTATACAACTATTCATATTAACTATATTAACAAACTAATATTTGGTTTTGACAAGAAATTGTTTACCAAATTTCCCCCTGGTGATCAATAATGTATCTATCTAACTATTAATTGTATTAACAATATAACACAACATTGTAGGTATTCACAGTATATCAGCCTCCCCACAGTTTGAGTGGAGCTCTTGCCATGGAGAACTATAATATTCCATCACTGGAGTAAAAAAGCATAATTTAAAGTTTGTCTTCTAAAAATGAGGACGTTTCCATGAAACACTGCAGTAAACTCCTGCAATAAAGAGCGTGTTGATAGCTCTTTCTGTTGCTTCTTTCCTTATTCAGGGGCGAAAAAAGTTCACAACTGAAAACAGCCTTTGATAACGGCCACTTTCAGTTCCTGCAACGAGAGCCACCCTCACGTTAAACAGTGGAACTAGAACAAGGCAGATTAATGACTTGCAAAGTAAATAGTTCCTGTTTTTGAGCGGAGAAACAACGGCGCTGCCACTTGCTGATCTGGGGAAACACAATGTAACATGCAGCGTAGAAACTAACAGCAGCTGACAGTGTTTCCAGCATTTGTTTACATGTATTAAAAACTAATGAGGTAGTAATAATTTATTGATGCTAAAATGCCACATAAAACAATTTAAATGTAGAAATTATTTAAAGTCCAAAGAAACAAGTTTGAAAGGGAAAAGTTAGCATGGTTCAACAAGGACACAAAAACAGGGAATTAAACGGATGATCAGCATAAACATGGATGTATTCATGACTTAAACATTGAGTACATTCATTTTACATCATGGCCTTCAAACAAAATGAGGGAAGGAAGGAAGAAAGGAAGGGGATGCCTGTGGCCTGACAACCAACGCTGATTTAGACTGCAGATTACAGACTACAGTCTGCCTGAAGAAACCAAGATAGTACATGCTTATTATTCTGCACAAAATCTATTGCTACCATTCTTATATAGAACGATTATTCTTTTCAGAAGCTTCCGTAACAGACTGGGTAATTCATCTACTCGCAAATATAATCTTTAACTGTATTCCATTGTATTTTCTTTCTCATCTCTTTCATTTTGCAACAGGAGAAGCAGTAAATTATCATCATCACTGGCTCCCCATCAGTGTAATGTATTATTCAAACTCTGCATTACGGGTTACATTGTATGTCTTCTTCATGCCTGAAGTAAGGCCAAAGACACAATTTTCTCCTCAATTGGACAATGAAATTGTATTCTTTCAGCTCACACTGTGTTGAGCTCGATGTTTGTATGCGGGTGTGTGTGTACACTAATGCGTGTGTGTGTGTGTGTGTGTGTGTGTGTGTGTGTGTGTGTACCTCTATAGGCTGTGGGTCGTTGAGATGGTTGCTCAGGTCCATCAGTATCTGAGGCATCCAGTCTGGGACATCGTAGGGACTCGACAGGATGCACGCACTGAGGCCGAGCACTCCGGCATGGCGCCGCACTAAGTCTGCGAACACACACACACACACCCACACACACACACCCACACACACAAAATGAGCCTTTGAATTTCAAGTTTCACAATTCCCCTGGGATAAGAATGAGTAATAGGCCAAGTATTACTGTGATTGCCTCACTGTATGATTGTGAGGTGCACGTAAATGTGTGTGTAAATGCGTGTGTGTGTGTGTGTACCTGTGGAGGCCAGCTCTCCTCTTGCCTTGGGGAGGCGAGTCTGACTCAGCGTCTGGAGCTGTGTCTGCAGACTGGAGTCCAGAGGGAAGAACTGGCACTGCAGTAAACCACTGAGGGTGGTGCCTGCCATGTCCCTCACCTACAGGGAGAAGGAGAGTGGAGGGGGTGGGGGGGATAGAGGGATGGAGGGAGAGACAGCAAGGAAAGAGAAAGAAAAAAAGAGACCTGTGAAGATCAGGACAGACAAATAAAGGAAAGCACGAGGCAGTTTTAGGGCGAGAAACGCATGCACAATTTATCAAAAGAAGCGAGCGCAAGAAGATCGGGTGGAAAGCGAGGTACACGGGACAGAGATGAGCAGGGGAGGAGGGGGAGGAGAGGGAGGAGGGGGAGGGATGGATGCTGAGTTGAGGTGAGGTGAAATTCACTTGCTGAACATCACTGCCATCCTGCATCACTTTGCATACATTATGAATAAGCTCTGAGTGACGGTTGATGCATTGAAATAGACAATGATACAAAGACAACACACTGACCAGCTGTACACTTACAGTTTACAAAATAGTGAGAGAAGCAACAGTTTTTGCAAGTTAGACAACCCGGGTGAAGCTTAATGTTCATTGATTTCTATCTGTACATCCCGATCAATAGAAAAGAGACAAGTTAAAGAAGGGTTTAAAAGCACGGAGACAAGCGGGACATTTAATGCACAAAAAATGACGCAACTCAATATTAGAAGATACTTCTATATTCTGTGCACAGGTAGTGTATTTAATGTTACTGCATTCGATAAATAGATATGGATAATTAACAGTTGGATAATAGTCAAAACATATATGCTTTGCCAAATTATATTTTGGGCATTAGATTGATTAATGATGTTATTTTTAGATGAGTTAAATAACAACTAGCTACAAAGGAGTGCAAGGCAGCCATGGTGCTCTATCAACATCTCTGATACCACAGATAAAGAGAAAGGCACCAAAACAGGAAAATAAATGAAGAGCTGAGCAGAGAGGTAGAGGGTTATTTTTAAGCAATAACCGTTAATAGAAAAGAGGGATTAAGATTTAGTGAGGAGAAACTTGGGGACAATAAGTGGCCATTTATAATCCTGTGACAATTACACCTCGCTGAGGGATAATGGCTGTTTTAAAACAGTGTTTGCTGCCTTTTTGTGCATACATTACCTCGAGCTGTTCATCAAGCAGCAGCTGCATCACCAGCTTTCGAATGTGGAGCACCTCGGCAGGCACACTGAGCAGGATGAACAAGTTGTAGAAAACCATGATCTGGAGGTAGGTCAGTACTGAGTAGCGTGCATGCCACGATCTGTTGCCTGCCATCTAGAGGGAGGGGAGACAGAAAGGGAGATAAAGAATAAAGAAAGATCTTTAAGTTTCATGCTTCTTGTGCAAACAAAATATTATGGTGTGGGACACAAGTTAATATGTTGTGTACACAAGATTCATAGAATGTGTACACAAGTTATTATCTTGTGAGATCAGGATGGTCATTTTGTATCAGTTCATTAAGTTTTATTGTCACCTGTCATATAATATAATAATGAAAAGTAGTTCGAGCAAAACAACAATAAATGTCTACAGCCATGCTGGCGGCTCTGTGAGGCTGTACTTCGGTGCAGCCGTGCTTTGAGCTAAATGCTAACGTTAGAATGCTAACATGCTGGCATAAAGACTGGAAACAGGTAGCCAAGAGTCTACAGTCACGCTAGCATCTGTGAGTATGCTAACATGCTTACAGTGACATTGTAATGGTAAACAGGTATAATGTTTACCCTCACTATCAGGCCAGCTGTTTGCCTCTGCATCCATTCTTTATGCTAAGCTAAGTCAACCATCTGCTGGCTCTATAGCTTCATATTGTCCTCCTCCTCTAGTTTTTTGCCAAAATGTCAATCTATCCCTTTAAATAATTTGTGCACACGACATGAGATTGCAACAAGATAAAAAGGGTGTCAAGATGAAACACAAAAATGTTGCAATGCGTTCTCACACGGTCTACCACGAAATATGGAACTGCTGACACCATGGTTAGATATTCTGATAGCATTTGAGAATGTCTCAACAGCATACAAAACTCACAGGAGAAAAACTGTAAGCAACACAAAGTAAGCAAAATAAAATAGCACAGGTTGTTTTTAGGCTAACAACACCTTGGGCAGAATTAGGCTATGAACACTGACAGCAGGCAAGTGGGG